CTCCATTGTTTAATAAAGAAAGATCGGGCTGGTCAGATTATGACTTCAGCACCACATTCCCACCTACTCCAATAAGCTGACTCCAATGTTTACTCAAAAATGGATCACCCCTGCCCTAAAAACATTCACTGAATATATCTCTGCTGCTCTCTGGGTGGAATGAGTTCCACTCATGATCCTTAGATAAACAATTTCTCCACATCTCTGCCTTAAATGGGTGACCTTTAATTTTTAACTGTGCCACTAGCTTGAAAGACCTTCACAAGTGGGAACGTCCTTTCAGCAGCTCTCCTGTGAAACAGTCTTTCTTTCAACCTAAATGGGCTGAATGAGCTCCTTCATCTGTGACTATCTGGTGACGTTTGTAAGCTGGCAAAGGGACAGGATGACAGGCCTTCAACTCATGGTATGTGTGTGACGTGAGGTGCCAACACCTGGCACTGCAAGACAGTGACTGACTCAGGTTTAAATCCTGCTGCTCCAAGTCTCGACTCTGAAGGGCGTCAATCTAAAGGTGGGAAATCCAGACGGGCAAGGTGTATGCTTGATAGCTCTGAGCAGACTTCGGTGGGAGGGGGCAAACAGTTGCAGATTTGCTGATCTCCACTTTAGACATCAAGATATCAGGGTCAGGGGAGAAAAGGCACATATAGATTGGCATAAGGTCAATGACGTGATGTTACTTTACACCTCTGGTAACCCATTACTGACAAGTAGTACTAGAGGTTTATTCACTGTGCCTTTCAGTTGATGCTGCTTAAAAATTCCACTATTACTTAGTAAGACTAACAGATTGATTGGAAACCTCGGCTAGGCTCTCGCAATAAATCAATAATCTCCTGCTTTATTGCTTAATGTTGGACTATGGCTGTCTCCCTTATTCTCACAGGGAATGCTGGGGAAACTCAGCAGGTCTGGCAGTATCTGTGGAGAGAGAAATAGAGGTAATGTTTCGCGTCTGATAACCGCTCAGAGCATCTCTATCACTTGTTCTCAGTGCTTGGCAGATGCTATGCATCTTTTCCTAATAGATTTGTCAGAGCACCACACTGTCATTTCAGCAAACCAAGGGCACAGTCAGACAGAATGCTCCAAGGTCATGAAGATTCTCACTGCTGTCAGCTGGTCTCTGCCCTCTCTCCTGAAAGTGCTGATCCAGGCAGAGCAGCTCACTCACCAGATGCCCATTCCTCTCTGGTATCTCAAGCAAGTGTCCATTCTTCACAGGTCACCCTGATGAGCAAGTGCCAACAGGCCAGAGAAAACAGGGAGAACTCCATCCTGCCCTAACATGAACAGTTATGTACAATTGACGTCATTGAATACAGATTAGGAGCCAAAACCTCATGCACATACTAGTATACTTCCTGTCACCTTGCCTTCCATTAGGTAACTCAGATAGAGATGGAGCCTCAGACCCTGTCCCCACTCACCATTCTTCTCTAGTGAAGAAACTAGAGGAGAGATACCTCAGTGGTGATGTTAAATGGCCTGGTGGTAATGCCACTAGTAAATTAGACACCAAGGAAACATCCTGGGGAATTGGATTCGAATCTCACCACAGCAGATGGTGGAATGTTAATTCGATAAAAATCAAGAATTAAAAGTGTAGCAGGAAAATTTTATTTAAATCACTGCAATTCAAATTCAAATTCAAATTAATTCGGCGAGAAAGAAAGACTTAGACATCTTACTCTATGTGAAAGTCATACGTTTAAGTGCAGTCTCTGTGCTAACGTAGGAAATGTGGCTGCTTATTTGGACGGACCAAGATCCACATATGGCAATGTGATTCCAATATCTCAAATTCAGTGACATTGATTAAGGAATAAATATTGGCCCACAACAGAAGAACTCCCCTGACCTGGTCAGAGAGCCTGGGATCTTTTACATTCAACTGAGAGCAACAATTAGGCACTGGCTCAATATCTCAGCATCTTCGGCAGCGCGGCATTCCCCAACACTGATCCTCCAGTGGCCGACACTCCCCCCAACACTCCACTGGGAGCATTATCCTAGATTATCATCTTGAATCTGGAATTGGACCTCACCTCACGACCTCCTAAATCAGAGGGAAGTATTACCCATAGAACCTCTGCTTACAGCACCATGAGAAACAACAAAGCACTATGTATAATGCACTGTTAATTAGATATCCAGTAGCAGGTTTTCAAAGTGACGGCCCGATAAACATCTAGCGTTAACTTGCTGGCTCTCCTAGCTTGGAGATACAACTGTGCCGATATCTGGCCCACATTCATCTCCTTTGAAAAGCTCATCAACCATCATCTAAATGCCAGCCACAGTGAGAAGCAACACTGCCAGGAAAAGTGCAAACTGGGAGGGCGATGGAAAAAAAAAGGGTACGCAAGGAAACATTTCACATTTGCATTTCTCCGCAACACACACACACACCCTCAGAGTGTGCATTACAGTTAGCAATTATAACACAAAGGGTCAAACAAGCAAGTTTTAGCAATAAATCCAGCTTTGTGTTGGTGGTCACTGCAGTCAGCTGAACGTTAAGAAAAAATTATGTTACAGATTCAAATTGCAACACACAGAGTAGGATGAAGGTGCCCTGGGAAAGAATTAGGAAGCAGTAATCTAATTAGATAAACTCAATATCGGATTACGTTCTTTAATTCTCTTTTGGGTATTTGGTTTGTCTAACAACCTACTCACTGATCTCATACCTGCAGTCACAGTTGAAGTTATTCTTGGGTAACTTTAGCTTTGTTGCCCAGAGTATGGGACTTTTATATCAGGATTGCTTAACGATTACAAAATATCTTTACAAATTTAATATTAATAAGTCATCAGCCCTCAAAGATGAGTTCTTGTTAGAATGCTACTGCATCCCGTTGGCCAGGAGCTAGCAATAGCCCACTTCAGGGTACTAAAGAAAGGTCAGATGGTCAACTCATTCTAGGCGCAGAGTTTCACAGTTCTCATGGCCGAAGCACTTCCTTCCTTGATCTAGGAGATAGGTCTCAGAGTGCAGCATGATAAAACACTGCGCACATTATGAATTGTATCACTGAGGAAAAATCCTGGCATACTGTTATGATACAGAAGCTAAGAAGGTGAACGAAGGATCCAAAGTTAGGGCAAGCCAAGATTTGTTAGAAGGCACCAGTAAACTTAGTTCAAGATTATCTGCAAATATTACTGCAGGAATAGAAGCAAAAGAACAGAAATGGAAATTAGTGACAATTAAACTTCAAACAAATACTAGCATCAAAATGCCGCTCAAAAAATTAAGCAATATTTAGAATATTTACCTCTCAGGTCAGCACGAAGCAGGTACAAGGTTTTACAATTTTGAGTCAGTGCCAACTGGAGAGTCAGAGGATTCAAAGGATAGGTTTAGAAGAAATAAAAAGACTTGTATTTCAATAGAGCCTTTGATGATCTCAAGCCTTCCAAAAGCTTTTTGGAACCAATTAAATGATTTTAAAAAGTGTAGTCTAAATGTAAGGCTAAACACTATTAAGGTCTCTGATCAGGACAAAAGATGGAATATGACTGCAATCCAAGCTATCAGAAATTCAGTAAACAAGGGAGACAATGGCCTATTGTTAAGTGCAGTTACAAAACAAAGATAAGATTAGGTATTTTGCTGAAACACAGTTCCTCTAACAAAACTAAATGGAGTCTGGAAATGTGCTACACTAATATTAAAGCAGCTTTCACATCAAAATGAGGCACCTCTTCAGCACCACGGCTTCACAGCTCTCATTGCCACTGCCAACACCAAACTTAAAGCATGCCAGAGTTTCACCAACACTTCATTTTAATGTTGTCAGCAAACGACGAGGCTACATTTCCCAAACCAGCCGCACAGGACAAAAGGAGCTCCAGCACAACACAATTCCGAATACAACACGTCAGGAGTGTAAATCAGGTAGAAATTGACAAGGAATCACTCAAGGAGACCAAATGTTGGGCAAAGGATGTAGGTATTATGGATGGTCTTAAAGGATGAAGAGGCACAAGGAGGTTTAGGGAGGGAAGTAAAGAGTTTAACTGGAGGAGTGCAGAGATCTCAGGGCTGTGGGACTTTTTAAAAGTATATTTGTTCAAGGGATATGGGTGCTCCTGGCTGGACCAGCATTTGTTGTCCATCCCTCTTTCTATTCTCATAGAAACTGATATAATTATAACAGGACAAAACAGTGTAAACACAGGAAGTATGTTCCTGATGACTGGGGAGTCCAGGACCAGGGGTCACAGTCTAAGGATATGGGATGGTCCATTTAGGACTAGGATGAGGAGAGATATCTTCACCCAGAGAGCAGGGAGCCTGTGGAATTCTCTGCCAGAGAAAGCAGTTGAGGCCAAAACATTGAATGTTCTCGAGGAGGAGTTAGGTACAATTCTTCGGGCTAAAAGGATCAAAGGGTGTGGGGAGAAAGCAGGAACAGGGTACTGAGTTGGATGATCAGCCCTGATCATATTGAATGACACAGCAGGCTTGAAGGGCCAAGTGGCCTGCTCCTGTTCCTGCTCCTATTTTTTAACGTTTCTAGCCATAATTGTCCGAGGATCGTTATGAGTCAACCATATTGCAGAGAGTCTGGAGTCACACATCGGCCAAGGATGGCAAATTTCCTTCTACGAAGGGTATTAGTGAACCATGAGGGTTTTTATGACAATTGACAGTGGATACATTAAGTCAGCTTTGTCAACAGATTTTTATTGAATTCAAATGTCACCATCAGCAACGTTGGATCCAAACTCATGCCCCCAGAACATTAGTCTGGGCTCTGGATTACTAGTCCAGTGACACACAGTCATGGAATATAAAAATTTGAATTTTAAATCTGAGGTTTTAAACTGGAACAGGAGCCAACATGAATCACCAAGCATTGGAGGCAACTCTAACCATAATACATTCGATACAGAGTAGACACACAGGACTGACCCTTGACCACAATGTCCACTTAAAGAAGGCAAACTCAGCCGAAAACAAACCTGCGTGGGAAGGGATCACTCACCTCATCCACAGAGATTGGTAGGATTATCCGACTAAAAAAAAAAAGAGGAAAAATAAATAAATTAATATTTGAACTCAAACAGGTACATTTATTTTTCAAATGTTCAAATCCTCCACTGCCTCTCTAATGAGTCTCAGGTCTTTTACAAACCAAGAGGACAGCAAAGCCGTTTGATCAAACAGGCACACACTTACATTCCCACTCACCACATCCTCTTCAGTCTCACGTTGTGAATTCTGACTTAAAACCACTTCCACAGTTTGCTCCACTGACCTAATGTTGTTCCACAACCCCCGTCACTGCCCCTCTTCTGTTAACAGGACAACCCCAGAGACTGGGGGAAGGGAGGAAAGCTCTCCATGTCAGTCCACCTGGTGAAGGTGTTCTCTCACTATCAGGCAACTCAGCCCGACGATTCACAGCCGGTGCGTCGGAGCCATCCTTAGCTCTCTATATCTCACTCTATTGACATGTCCTTTCTTTCCTCCCTCGTATTTATCCAACTAGAGGCAAATTACTGCTGATGCTGGAATCTGTACAAGAACAAAACTGCTGACAATCGCAGTGGATGAAACAACTTGCACAGAGAGAGACAGCAATCTAATGTTGAGTCTAGATCATTCTTCATCAGAGCTGTTAATGCAACCTCTACTTCAGTATATGTATACTATTCACTCTGACCCGCTCCCTGCATGTCCCATTCTCCCCACTGTCTCAGAAAGGAGTTTACCCTGAATCCTGGGATAGTAGGATCTGCCGATGCTGGCGAATCTGAGATAAGAAGGTGTAGAGCTGGATGAACACAGCAGGCCAAGCAGCATC